GTTGTGCACGAACAATGAATCATGGAACACTTTATCTAGAACTAATGATGTAATGTATGGGAATTAACATAAGAATAAAAAAAAATTAAAAAAAAAGAAAAAACAACCCACTTACTACTACATTGAAGAATGTTGTATAGCTTCAGCCACAGTAAATGGATGACAAGCCCTCTGAAGCTGTGCAAAATAGAGATCAATCACAACAGAAATTAACTAAAGACTTGATTCTCAGCAATTCAAAATGGCAGCATCTGAGACCATCTCCTAGGAAAGTATCTAAGCCATTCATTTTGTGTTTAAACAAAAAGACCTCACTGCCAGGGAAATGAATATTTCAGCTTTCAGGCATGCCTAAGGCAAAACAGGTTTTTTTTTTTCCCCTTTTCTCTTCAAAAGTTAAGCTACATAAACTTACACACACACAAACACACACACACACAAACATTTCCCTAAATTTAAATTGTAGGTTGTTCTGATTAAACTAAGTTTTCCTGCTTTCATGCTACCAGATTTTTGAGAAATTGTGTATGTATGTATGCGATTATCTCAGAAATTAAAGAGAATTTAGATGACAGCGCTAAAGAATTCAGGCAGCTCAACCCACTGTTTCCTCCCTTAACCTTTTCTGCAAAAGAAGTTGAATCCTGGGAGTATTTTTAAATTTAAGAGGGCAATGGAGGGTGACAGAACAATTGGCAGTCAGGCTGTTCTAATTCTCTATTAATCAAGGACTACTTTCTTTCAGCTCAAGGCGAGGACACACCTAGAGTTCCTGTGCAAAGCGAAGGCTCTGGCTACACAGAAAACTCTCCAAGTCCTGATGGTAAGTTCTGAGCTATTTGAGCTCATGCAAACTACAAATCTGACACATTTTCTGTATGTATTCTAGGATTAAAGGAGCTATCTATTCTATGAAGCAACATATTCAGTTAGAACAAGGTAAAGTTCAAAAACCATGTTCTACTAGGAACTAATAAAATTAGCAGACTTAAAAAAAAAAAACTGATGCTAGCTATTTTAGAACACTATGTGCTTCAGGTTAATCACACCTTGTAATTTGGAGGCCATAGTGGGTAATTCCAAGGGTAAACTGGACTGAAGTTCAACTGGTGAACTTTATGAGAGTATCACTTACTTCCACAAAAAGTACTTGCCCAAAGTTAGCACTGCTCTATAGGGACTCAGGGAAACATTCAGGAGAGCTCCGACTTGAGTTTGGGCTAAGGTTATCTTGGACCTTCATCACTTTACCTCACTATATCACTTCAGATGGCTTGGCCAAAAATACAGTGGATCTTTAAAAGCACCTTAGAAATCAGTTTACAAAAGTCTGTCTTTATTTACATCTCATTTTGAAGGCATCTGAATACTCTGAGCCTGAGGAATATAAATATACCCTCTCCCTATATAATGATGCTGGGAATGCTTTGAAATATTACTTGCGGGCGCCTGGGTGGCTCAGTCGTTAAGCATCTGCCTTTGGCTCAGGTCATGATCCCAGGGTCCTGGGATCGAGTCCCACATCGGGCTCCCTGCTCGGCAGGAAGCCTGCTTCTCCCTCTCCCACTCCCCCTGCTTGTGTTCCTGCTCTCGCTATCTCTCTGTCAAATAAATAAATAAAATCTTTAAAAAAAAATATTACTTGCATTCAAAAAACAATTATTTGGGAATATATGATTTAATAAATATTTGATTCCACCATCCCCCAGAGCTCAGGAGAACCAAAATTGGTTGGTGATCAACCGTTCATGTATACCTTGCTATTTGGTTCATTTTATCGAAAGACAAAAAGCAACTTACTTCGAATTGATAATGACCTTGGCAAAAATTCAACTGGTAAAAGTTACTTGGTGAATTTATTTGGTGGTTGTAAATAGAGTTTTCTGTACTAGGTATTCCACCCTGGTAGAAGCTTTTCATCACCTGAATTTCCTCCCTTCATCATAACCCTTCCATACAAACGGATTTTTTTTTTAACTCATAGGTTGCATTACCTAGGAGAATAATGTTTTTCAACCTCAGATCCATTAAAAGCTACCACATATTAGTCATGCTCAGTTGAATGAAACCCACCGCAGCCTGGTTGTGACATTATAGACATGGTTCATAACTAGTTCTTTACAAAACATGTTCTGAAGCATAGCAGGCCCATACGATGCTCATTGAATAAAAGGGAAATAAACATGGAAAATACTAACATTTACTCCTCATTCTGAGATTCTCCATGCATATTATAGGTTCTCAGAAGGTTCAGCTGTAAAGAAACTTACCGACATTGTTTACCATTGCTTTTCCCAAACTTATTTGATCATGGGAAGCTATTTATTATTAGGTTTTGGGACCAGTGACCCTTGGGTTGGAGGAAGAAACAGAGAAGAGGTGCTCTCCTATATTTTATTCTGCACACTACCTCACGGAGATGGGCGACCTTACAGTAATTTTGTAGACCAAGCTGGAAAGTACATGCATTATTCTCCTTATAGAGGTAGCTTTGCTGCATCTGGCCAGTTTACACCTGGGGCTTAGAAAAAGAAACCCAGAAACCAAGGATAGTTTGCAGGTGGAACAGAGACCTTTTTTTCCCTATTTTTTAAAATCTTTTATTGTTATGTTAATCACCATACATTACATCATTAGTTTTTGATGTACTGTTCCATGATTCATTGTTTGTGCATAACATACAGGGCTCCATGCAGAACGTGCCCTCTTTAATACCCATCACCAGGCTAACACATCCTCCCACCCCCTTCCCCTCTAGAACCCTGTTTGTTTTTCAGAGTCCATCATCTCTCATGGTTCGTCTCCCCCTCCGAACTCCCCCCCTTCATTCTTCCCCTCCTGCTATCTTCTTCTTTTTCTTTTTTTTTTCTTAACATATATTACATTATTTGTTTCAGAGGTACAGATCTGTGATTCAACAGTCTTGCACAATTCACAG